TATTATCACGCTCAGCTTTATGGAACAAATTAGTGCAAGATTAGGCCTTGGAGCTTAGAGGAGGATGGAGACATTTATCTATGAATAAATATACTACAAAGTAGTATCCCATTGCCAAATGAGTAGTAGACTACGCACGTCACGGAACACAGAACTAATTGGCAGCTAGTCTATAAAGTAACATCTTTTTGGTGCTCTGACAATCTGGTTTCCCAAAGTAATGTGAAAAATCTGCATTTAAGCATTAAATATAAAAAACATCTTATGAGAAACACATAAATAATTGAGTCAATGGGTATCATGCTCAAAGAAAGTCAAAATTTCTTTTCTTGGAATCTGGGAAATAGACTTTTGTCTGGTTAACTGAACACTAAACAATAAAATATAAACTGCAGCTGTTAAATGGTTTCACATCAATCACATGACAGACTCAACAGATCACCAAATGAATATAATGCTCCGGGAGAGCTGTCTGATTTACTGAGAAAGTAAATTTTCATTTTTGAAAAGAAACCAAAGGGAGTTTTGTTTCCTAAAAGTGGATCACACTCCAATTGATTGTCTATTTGTTAAAATATTCACTTTTGGACTTTCTCATAGCAAGTACAGAGCTTACAGTTTACTATCTGAATCATTTTATATACTATGTACTCTATTATTCATCTACTCTAAACCATTGATGCATTAAATAACAGATATGTATGTTGGGAATTTTCTAAAGCTGTCTTTGCTATAGCAAGGCCCTAAAAGAGTACTAAAGAGTAAGTAAAAGTGTGATGAATAACTCCTCCTCTTTATTCCCCTGTAATGCGTGTGCATATTATGTGTAGATATAAGCAATCATACATCTGCTAAATGCTTGTCAATACCACTTTGTTATGAGGCAGAAGGCCACAGAGATGAGAATCAAAAGTGGAATGGAAAGATGGGAGAATTTTTAACAAAGAAAGAAATGGCTGTGACAGAAGAAACCTCAGGGAAAGGAACTGGCACTCAAAAGTAATGAATGTATCAGTGTAGGAGCTGAAATTCCATTTAATCCAATTCAATAAGCATTTATTAAGCATCTACTATACCAGGGGCAGAAAAGCAAAAAAAAAAATAGTCCCAGCCTTCAATGAGCTTATATTATTACACTAGATATAGATACATATATTTATAAACATACACAGAGATAAGTAAATACAAAATATATCCAAAGTAAATACAAGCTGGCAGAGGGAAAGAGCTAATAACTGAGATGATCAAGAAAGGCCTAATGTAGAAAGTAGTACTTAAGCTGTTCCTTGAAGGGAGCTAAGGATTCCAAGAGTCAGGTAAGAAGTGAAATCACTATAATCATGGTAGCCAGCCTGTGCAAAGTCACAGAGGCAGAGATGAAATATTGTATACAATCTAAAGTGGTTCACTTTCGCTGGAAAGTAGTATATAAGGGGAAAAAATGTGTTGTGATCAACCCAGAGACAGTGATTGGAGTCATTGTAAAGGTTAGTAAATACTAAACAGAGGAATTTTATCCTAGAATAGGAAACCATTGAAGCTTCTTGACCAAAAAGATGAAATGGTCAGATCAAACTGGCAGCTGTGTGGAGGGTTCACTTAAAAAGGGAGAGACTGGAAGCAAGTGGACCACTTTGGAGTCTATTACAATGATCCAGGCCAGAGGTGATGAGAGCCTCAAGTATGGTGGTGGCTATGCACTCAGAAAAAAAGGGATAGATACAAGAAGTGTTTTAGAACAAAAATAAGAAGGATTTGACAACTGACTGGATAAGAAGATGAAGGAGAATGAAGAACTGAGGATAATTCTGAGGCTGTGAACTTAGATGACTGGAAGAATGGTGGTACCATTACAGAAGTTGGAAAGTTAGAAGAGACATGTATTTGTCAGGGAAAGATAACGAGTTCTGTTTTAAACATTTTGATGCCTATGGAACATTCAGTTAAAAATATTCAGCAGACATCTAAGAAAGAACTATCCCCTCTCATTTCTTACAGCACAATAGTATTCCATCATAATCCTATACCACAACTTGGTTAGCCATTCCTCAACTGAGGAGCAACCTGAGTCTCAGTTTCCAATTCTTTGCTATGACAAAAAAAGCTGCTAAAAATAATCATGTAGCTATAGGTCCTTTTCATTTTCTTTTGATCTTCTTGGGGCACAGACCCCAAACAGCATTGCTGAGTCAAACGGTATACACAGTTTGGAGTATTTTTTCATATGATCATTGATGGCTTTGATTTCTTCCTGTGAAAACTTCCTGTTTATATCCTTTGACCATTTATCAATTGGGAAATGGCTCTTATTTTTATAAATTTGGTTCAGTTCCCTAGATGTTTGAGAAATGACACCTTAATCAGAAAAATTTGCCATAAACTTTTTTTCCCCAGTTTCCTGCTTTCCTTCTAATTTTGGTTGCATTGGTTTTGTTTGCACAAACTTTTAAATGTTATGTAATCAAAATTATCTATTTTATCTCCTGTGAACCCATCTATCTCTTGTTTGGTCATGAACTCTTCACCTAGCCATACATCCAACAGATAATTTTTTTTCCTTGCTCCCCTAATTCGTTTACGATATCATGCTTTATGTATAAATCATGTACCCATTTTGAGCTTATCTTGGTATATGGTATGAGATACTAGTCTCTGCCTAGTTTCTGACATGCTACTGTCCAATTTTCCCAGCAGTTTTGTCAAATACTGAGTTCTTGTAGGGCAAGGGTTCTTAACGCTTTTTGTGTCAATAGTTCATGAAGGATGGTAAAGCCTATGGATCTCTTCTCTAAGATTAATGTTTTTAAATGGGGAGCAAGTAAAAGTTATAGGGAGATAAATTTCAGTTTAATGTATGGAAGGACTTCCTAAAAAATGAAGCAATCTAAAAATGGCAACAGGCCACCTTGAGAGATAGTGACTGTAATTGTCAGCCACTGCAATAAGTCAAACAGAAGTAGGATATTGACCTGTCAGGGACATTGTACAAGGATTCACACTACAGGTAGTGAGGCTGGATGAGATAACCTGATCCAACACTAAAATTCTTCAAGAACTTTAGTGGAATAAGGCAATTCAATTTCACAAACATTAGGCACCTACAATTAGGTGAGAGATCAGACTAAGCACTAAGGACACAAAGACAGCCCTTGGCCTCCAGGAGCTTTCACTCTGCCACTGGGACACAACATCTCTGCAAATAAATGTAACACAACAAAAACCGAAGAGGGAAAGAAAACAATATGGAAATTAAGAAAGGCTTCAAAGAGGAAGATGTACCTGAAATGAGCCCTGAAAGAAAACAAAGAAAAAAAAAAGAAAACAAGGTATGAAGAGAAAAGATTTCTGCAAATACACGGATACAAAAGATGAAGTATACAGCTCAGCTAGCAGTCTAGTACTGCAGGAACAGAAAGTTACTGAGGTGAAGTAAGAGGTATAAAATGCAGCCAGACTGATATATGGGGACCAAGTTGTGACGGTTTTTAAAAGCTAGGCCAAAAGAGTTCCTATTTGATCTTGGAGGCAATAGGGAACTCCTAAAGGTTTCTAATCGGGAGAATGACAAGGTCAGATGTTTCCTTACAAAGACTATTTTCGTAGATGTGTAGAGAATGGGTTGAAGAGAGCCTGGAAGTACAAAGACCAAGAAGGAGACTGTTAGAATAGCACAGGTGAAAGCTGATGGCTGTGTGTGTGGAAAAGAGGACAAATGTAGGAGATGTTGCAAAAGCAGAATCAACAAGACTTGATAAATCAGATGATGGAAAGGGAAAAGTCAAAGAAGACTCTGAAAACACCAATATGTGTGAATACAAGGACGTTTATGATCTCAAAGACATAGAGGACTGTGGAAACAGGCAGACAAGAATTACAAGACCTCAGATAACCTTGATCTTCTTAAACAAGTGAGAGATCAGGTCATCTGTTTTAAGTGTGGGAGTAACAGCTTGAAGAGAGGAAAAGGTTTATGACACTGCTGTAGGGGATAAAATAGGAGATTGGGAACGACAAAAGTAAAGAGGATTCAAGAGTGGGAGCTAATCAATCATTAAAGTGGCTACAGAGAGGTAAGTGAAATCAAAAAGAAGGAGGCAAAACAAGAGCATAATGGAAGGGTGGGGGTGAGTCAAAAAACCAGAGATCATTATGCAAGTGGAAAATGGCTTTTTATGAATAAAAGGGTAGAAAAAATGGAAATGTAGGAGGTTACAATCAGAAGGCAGAAATTTCTAAGATTCTATCTTGAAGGTCATATAATTTATAAGATGGTGAGGTCATGCAATTTTTAAGTGTGTGACTGCTGTTGGTAAGATCAGCCAAGATGGGAGTAAGAATTCCCTGGAGTTAAAAAAGTCTCATTTTACAGATGGGGAAACTAAAAGCCAGAGAGGACAAGTGACTGGCCCAAGGTCATACAGATGTGAGCTATGTCTTCTAACTCCAAATCCAGGAGGTTTTTTTCACTACACCACATTTCTTTCCATGCTCCACTGGCAAAAATAAATGGTAGGACTTATTATAATATTTGAAAGTTTAAAAAAAAAACCCTAATAACTGGATGTTAAATGTTTCGTCCTAGCTCTTATCTCCATTCATTTGCAGAGCCGGGACCAGAAGCCAGGTATCCATATTCTTGCCCTTTCCACTGTAGGGAGCTACAGGACACAGTTAAAATGTTGGCAGCATGATCACACATCTATCTACCACTATCTGAACTCTGGCTAACAGTCTCAGTTTATAATCCAAACAGTTTGAACCTAGAATTAAGATCTTTCCTCTCATTTGAGAAGGAAAAAAAACCATGGTCATACATACTGCGTTTATGTAATTCAATGAAAAAGACAAACCTCTGACCTTAAGTTCCTTCTAATCTCAACAACATTGAGAATATAAACACAGTGTAGGCATTTATTCAAAGTACAAGGTAGAAAAAGTTTTATGCAGATAAACTTGTTCAACAATGCAATATTTAATAAATCACAACATACAATGCTCACCTTCTTAGACTGCATGTGGACAGCAAGTAATTTAATGCTGATGGGCATGATTCTAAAATATAAAAATATTTTTAAAATTTCCAAAAGACAAAAATTATAACTTCTCTATAGAGACAAAGACAAAAATTCTGTGCTCAACACCTGTGCCTTCACTAATCATTAGTTGGGTACTCCTGTTCACGTTGGTTAATTTCATTCAGCCTCAGTCCACAATCATAGTTGGACGGGTTTTCCAAGTTCATCTAGTCATCTCATCTAGCCTACATCTGAAAAGGAATTTCAGTATCTCAAACAAGTGCTCACCTCCAGTTCAGGGGAACCAACTTGAACCTCTTGAACCAACTTCATACACTTTTGAACATGTCTGTCACAAAGTTTTTCCTTAAATCAAGCCTAAATCTCTCTTCAACTTCTACCCCTTACTCTTAGTCCTGGCCTCTGGAACCAATCAAAACAAATTAGTGACATCACAAAACTTCAAAATGGGGACAGAATTCAGTGGCCATCCAAATCCAAAACATATCTGAAGAAAGAAAGAATCCCCTGCATCTCTAATGAGGAGACATCCCACCACCTGTCACGGAAACATATTCCACTCTGAGATAATTGTAACTGTTTTTCTTTACACCAGGCCTAAATCTGCTTCCTTGCCTAAATCTGTTCCCCATTCTGCCATCTGAGGACAAGCAGAATAAACTTAATCCCTCTTTCACCTGATGGCCCTTCAAATACTTAAATACTGTCATGTGCTCCTTAAATCTTCTCTTTTTCAGACTAAATCTCTTTAATTAGTGCAACCAATCTTCACATGATGGCATGGTCTCCACACCCCTTACTATCTTGCCTGTGCCCACCTCAGTTCCTTATGAGTGTCCTTCCTAATATGTGGTACCGAAAATTGAACAAAAAACTCCTGATGTGAAGTTTTATACACTGACCAGAGGGCAGTGGATAATGTTACTATCAATTTTTGTTCAGACATTATGTTTCTTTTAAAATGCAGCTTAGGATCATATTAACTTTTTTGGCTGCCATACTATTAAATCATTCTTCAGATTAAGTTTTCTTACCTTAAAAAAAAAAGAAAGAAAAGATGGCTTTATTTTCCCTGAATTTCTGGGAATTTCAGATCAAAGGGATGGAAAATGCCAAACATTTATTATTAAGTATTCATGTGTCATTTGAAATTGATGTGATTAATTTCAAAACATTAAATATCTTTTGAAGTCTCCAAATAACAGAACAGATTCCAAACAAATATCATGTTCCAGTACAGCTGTCTGTTTTACTGAAAGCTGTTACTTTTTAAAAATGATTAAAAACTGATGAAAATTTCATTACTAAAAAAAAAATGGAGCTTACTTAATTATTGCCTAATCACAGAAAAATAACAAATTTACTGCACTTCTTGCTGCAAGTCATCTTTAGCCTACCTAAAATATATGGAAAAATTCAGCTTTCTGTTTATTGTCTAAATATCTAACTGCAATTTTTTTTAAGCTAATAAGTGTTCATGGTTTTAGAAATAGGCTAATGTTAAAACTTTCCATTCACAAAGTAAAACAGGATAATAATAAGGCTATACTAGGGGAAAGGTGGGGTTGAGGCAATCAGGGTTAAGTGACTTGCCCAGGGTCACACTGCTAAATAAGTGTCAAGTGCCTGAAGCCGAATTTGAACTCATGTCCTCCTGACCCCAGGGCCAGTGCTCTATCCACCCGTGCCACCTAGCTGTCTAATAATGATGTAGTTTTGAGAGTCAGTGGAAGAAGACGGATTCCTGGGGTTTGGACCTACATCTACCATTACCTTCATTATGTGACGTTAAGCAAGTCATTACACACCTTTCTGGGCCTCAGCTTCCTCTTCCAAATGAGACAGATGGACAAGGTGATCTAAGATTCCTCCTAGTTCAAACATTCTAAGATTCTATGGTTATATTCTTTGTGCCTCAATCTCTCAGTTTTGCTTCTGGACAATAGGCAATATTTAGCTTTTACAGGATTTGCCACCTTGTTAAAGTTGCAAAACAGGAGATACATTTTTATATCTGCTCCTGTCCAAAAGCAACATCCCCAAAGTTATATAATTGATTTAATGGGAAGGGTGACCCCTATTGAAGGAAAAAAATATACATTCCTTTACCACCCAAATCTTTACATTTACAAGTCAGCCACACATTTAATGACTTAATATAAATTAGCAACTTAAAAATTATATAAAACAAGATCTGGGCAGTTCAGGAAACTGCCTGAATGGAATATATCACATAAAAACAAGCTATATTTAACTTCTTCCCACTAGTTCTGATTTTCTTAGCTTTTAAATCTATCCAGAACTTTCCTCAGTCCTCTGTCCAAAACCACCTTTACTTTATTTGGCTCTGAGATGGATTTGTCTATCTTACCCCATGTGCATATGTCTGTTCTCTTGTCTTTTCTAACCTGCTTCCTCTCCTTTATACCTTCCACTCCACCACTACAACCTTATCTACTTAGCTCTCATTCCCAATTTAAGTATACCTAGAAATATCTCCCGAAATCTACTATTAGGAAGCCACTCATTCATACCATACTACTTATACCTTAGGTATATCATCACAGATTTACCCTGCCATACTCATGCACCTCCCCTAATTTCTTTATGGATATGCTCTCATTACCTTAAATGTTATTTTACCGTAACTACCAATCCTCTCATTCGATTTGCACTCATTTTTCTCCTAACTAAATTCACCTTGCCATTCATTTTTGTCTGTAACCCTTTTAGATTGTGTTTCTCTCACAGTTTTAACTTGGGCTTCCTCCTCTAAACAATGAACTCATTTCTATACTTCTCCTGCAGAGGCACTTGTTTTCTTTCCTCCTCATTAATGAATCTCAATCCTCCCAAACCTATAGGTATCTGAATTTAAGTCCATTAAATTGTGCTACCCTTATCAGTGTTTCCCCATTACCTCCAGGCATTTCCATCTATCTTATCTTGACAGCAGTACTAGAATTTCCCTTTCTCTGTGCATATTCCTTTCTAGAAAGATAATGTATCCGGAAAAGTGTGCTCAATTTGGACTCAGGAGACTTGTGCTAAAATTGCATTTCCAACACTTAGTGGCTGTGTAACCGTAAGTAAGTCACTTACTGGTTTCCTGTCTCTAAAATAAGGATAATCCACCTGTACCTCACAGGGTTGTTAAGAAGAAAACCCTTTGTGATTCTTAAAAGTATCCTATAAATGTAAGGCAGTGTTGTACAATCTCTATTAAACTATTTCTGGGTCTCCACTTAAGTTCTAGCTATTCTTGTTTCCTGCATCCACTCGTTACCAAACCAAGGTCATCCAGATGTCAGCACAGCATCTAAAAGCTGCTTCAGCTTAAGGGCTTCCCCTCCTCCAGGGTCTTCTTCCACCGCCCCGCATCTCTTAGTTGAGGGTACAAGCTGGTGAAAGGGGGGCGGTGTGAGCAGGATCACACGTGTTCACAACCCACCCAAAAGGATGCGATCCCCGATCCATCATTACCAGGGAATTTGGAATTAGACCACCCGCACCTGCGCAGCCTGGCCCACCTCAGTTTCCCCTTCTGGAAATAAACCAGAGCTGCTCTGCTCGGAGGCCGTGAGGTCACCTGCGTGCCGCCACGCCGCCGCCGGCCAGGCTCAGGCTCGGCCTCACCCCCGCCCGCTCTCACCCTCCCGGGAGCGGTCGCTCCGGCTCATCCCGACGTGGTCTCCGGCCGGCCCGGGGCGGGCGGCGGGGTCCCCGCAGCCAGCGGCGAGCACACGGTCACGGCCGCCGCTCCCAGGGAGGGCGTGACCCTCGGCCGGCGGCCCGGGGCCCCATGGGGAGGGCCGAGAGGCCTCCTGGGGCCCGGCGTGTCCTCCCTCACCCACAACTGCGCTAGAGCCGACCCTGGCCGGGGCGCAGAGGGCAGCGCCTGGCCGTAGCGCAGCCCCACCACCCCCACGCCACGCGCGCGCGCTGCTAGGTGCCCGGCGCGAGAAGACGGAGCCCGCGGAGCAGCTTCAGGCCGCTGGACTAAGGACCAATGAGAGGCAGCCTCTGGGCAGCCGGGGAGGGGGAGGTTGGGCACTCCGCGGCAGGTAATAGACCAGAGGGCGTGGAGCGGCTGCTGGCGACTTGTGGATGTTCGTGTGCGGGGATGATGAGCTCCTGCAGCCGGAGCAGGACCCGGGCCATGTCACCTACCGAATGGCATTAGGTTTCGAATTCGACCTCCGGGTGAGAAGTGCTCCCCAAACTGGTCTGGGCGGCTCCTACCTTCCGTGGTTATTCCATGAGAACATCTTCCCGGAGAACCCAAAGTGGAAACAAAAATCTGTAGTCACAGCCTGATGTTCCAGTGCTTGCCCCATTAGAGTACTGGAGTCTTTGGACCTATTGTGTGCTCTTAAAGAGTTGGGCATGATCGTCCTACCAGTTCTTACAATCTGATTGAGCCCTTCTCAGTCTCGTTCCTAAATTTATTTATTTTTTGGCTAGGCAGTGGGGTTAAGTGACTTGCCCAGGGTCACACAGGCCTCTGTTTTTGAACTCAGGTCCTCCTGAATCCAGGGCCGGTGCTCTATCCACTGCGCCATCTAGCTGCCCCTTCGTTCAGAAATTTAACTGGTTAAGATAGATGAACCTATTGATAACGGTCTTTTCCCTTTTCTTAGCATCCTAGACTCCTGTAAAATCAAACTCCTTCTTTGGCCTGAGTGGGACCTTGGTTCTTGGATGTTTTCTCCAGATCCCTAAATGTGGTCTCTTCCCCATGATTCTGCTTCTTTCTAATCTTCTGAGGTCATATTTACTCTAACCTCAACTATCACCTCTGCAGATGACTTAAGAATCATCTCATGCTCCTCTGCCATCAAAGTATCTACTTCAATGACTCACTATGGAATCAAGCAGTTTACTAAGCACTTTCTACATGCCAGGCACTGAAAAGGCAAAACCAAAGCTGTCCAGACATACCAAAAAGTTTGTGACCTATAGGAAATGGCATTAAAAACATATATAAAGTTATTTTCCATTGTGCCGGGCATTACCAATTGAAGAGACGGGAAAGCAATAAAGGTTCTCATGAGGTGGCAATTTTGCTGAGCTTTGAAAGGTTAGAGATTTTGAGATGAATACCCAAAATCTGCTCCCTGTTTGTTACTCTTGAGTTAGAACTGGAGGTTTTAAAAGGGTATTTAGTCCAAACCCTTATTTTTTCAGTTGAAAAACTAATGCTCAGAGGTTACTTGCTTGCACACAGGTACCAAATGGCAGAGATCCTAGGACAACTCCAAACCCAGCACTTTCCATTATATCACACTGTCCCACACCTTCTGCCCCTAGGGCCGCTGCCTGGAGCCCTAACTTCCCAAAACCTCCTAGGCTGGCCTACTGTCATTTCCTACTCATCTCTACTGTTCTACCACAGGTACCCTTCACCCCTTTTCCTGCATGATTTTGTATGGTTTCTTCCAACATCAGATTATAAGCTTCAGGACAACAGGAATTGTCTTTTGCCTTTATTATCTCTAGCTCTTAGCAGTGCCTAGAGTGTAATAGGCACTTAGATGTTTATTAACAAATATGCCATTCTTTCCATGATCAGTATTCCTAAAGCTAAAACACTGGCTTCCTAAGTGAGAAAACCTGGCCATGAGCCTTGATTCTTCCACTTTAATTCTTGCAATGTTATTTCACCTTAGTTTCCTTAGCTACAAAATATTTTATCAGCCCAGGCTACTGGATAAGGGTGGGCTCAAGTGGCACATTAAGATAGATCAAAACATTTTGTAAACAAAGCTCTACAAAATGACAGATGTTACCTGCTAAAGCATAAACCTTGAATCCCTTCCCTTTAACTGGGCACAGTTCCTAATAGTGTAGTCAAAGCAGATGTTACCTGCTAAAGCATAAACCTTGAATCCCTTCCCTTTAACTGGGCACAGTTCCTAATAGTGTAGTCAAAGCCCTCTATAACCTAACTCTTAACTTACCTTTCCTTCTCACAACACATGCTGACATAGTGCTTGTGTTTTACAGCCTTTCTTCATTAAACATTCCCCACTCCATTTTTAAACAATTAGTCTTTGGCTTCTACATTCATTGTTCCCTTCATCCAATTTTTTGAGTACCTATAGTATTAAGAATATGCATATAAGAGGTATATGAACTTTCTGCCAGGTTATAATCCAGCTGAGATGATAAACCATATTAGTCCAATAACGGACTACTCTGTTTTAGAAGGTGTATTGATTGATGAAAACAGGGAAGTGGTAAACCAGAGACCAAAATGGCAGCCCAAGTAATGGTACTGTATTGGGGGGTGGGTGAGAGAATTAAGGGTGTGTGTGGGGCACCGGGAATTGAAGCTACATAAAGCACTGAGGAGCATCCAATTGTTCAATGATTTTTCCTGATTATTTGGGGGTTTTTGGGTTGTTTTTGACATTTCCCAAATTACCTTGTATAAGTAATAATAATAGGTAAATGAATGAAAAGCTAAGTACCTATACAAATGTGAAATAAGACTAAGTAACAGGACTAAGAGACCTAAATAATTATGATTAAAATTATGTGTTAAATGTTCAAGAAGGGTACAGAATGCCAGAGGACATTCCAAGATTACTTCTGGCAAATACAGGTGTAGTTTCCAGTTTCTAGCATGTCAGCCAAGGGTTCTTAACTTGGGGTCTATGGAAAAAAACAAAAACAAAAACAAACTACTATTGCCATTTAATTGATTTCTCTTCTAATCCCGGGTATTTTACTTTGTGCATTTATTAAAAACAGTCTGAGAAGGGGGTCAGTTGCTTTCACCAGATTGCTCAAGGTCTTTGACACAAAAAAAGGATGAAAAACCCTTTTTCTAGGCAAGGGCTATAAATTACAAAGATTCAAACAATAGGTAAGAATAGCTGTAATGCCCTGAAATTTAGCAAAAAAGTGAAAACTGATGAAAACTTTACAAGTTAGACATAGATCTAGAAGTCCATTTTAATCAATTTCTAAGTAAGGAGGATATTTGTGTCAATAATGACACTGTCAAAACATTCCTTACAAATAAAACTTATATTTTCTCTAGTAACAGCTACATGTAGTGCAGGTAGAATTACAGCAACTTCTCAATAAATGTGTTATTTTGTAAGATACAATCCCCAAGCAATGTCTGAAAGCAACATGCTGATGTGGTCCTAGCAGCTCGCACCCCAAATATGCCCCATGCTTTCTCTTCTCCAGGGTTTCTCTCTCTAGGTCCCTAGCCCTGAACATCATTCAGCTTTAAGGATAGGGGCAAGTGCATAACCTGATTAATCAGAAATGTGTCCAATAAAACAAATATCAATTTTGTCACAGGCATTTTTATTAACAGACCATTAGAAAAATAATCATGGTAGAGACCTGAAAAGGGGGAAAAAAAAGACATTAAAACTTACTCAAACACATTAGCTGAAATTAATATCACAGACTAAATATATCAGATGCAAGTAATTTTTTAAAAGGAAATAACCCATCAGTTAGAAATGTCTATCCTAGGGGGGGCAGCTAGGTGGTGCAGTGGATAGAGCACCGGCCCTGGATTCAGGAGGACCCGAGTTCAAATTCGGCCTCAGACACATAATACTTACTAGCTGTGTGACCCTGGGCAAGTCACTTAACCCCACTGCCTAGCAAAAACAAAAAACAAAACAGAAATGTCTATCCTTTAAGCACCGGACACTAAGCATAATCCATAAAAAATAATACAGCAGTCACAACCACCACCCTTTCAAATAAGACCACCTGACGTAATAATCTCTGCCCAACTAAACTAAATAAAAAATAAATAAAACTAAACAAGTTAACTTATTCACAGAAACTGAACTAAATATTCTTACTGGTTTCTGCCCCAAAGGTCTGAAACATAGCTCTCAAATCTAACCATCAATGTAATAAAACTGGAAGAAAAAAAAATTTCCTTGGGGCAGCTAGATGGCACAGTGGATGGAGCTCCAGCCTTGAAGTCAGGAGGACCTGAGTTCAAATCTGGCCTCAGACACTTGACACTTACTAGCTGTGTGACTGGGTGAGTCATTTAACCCCAGTGCCTAGCCAAAAAGAAAAAAAAATCCTCAAAATGCTTGAAACTCACCTTTAGTTCATTCTTCTAATAAGCCTGTTGATCTGGTCTTCCCTGTTACCAGCATCTCCACCTTCCACAAAATGTGTAGTCTTTTTCTTCATTCCACCTCGTGGAGAAGATAATTTGAAGGGCCACAGGAAGTTGTTGGCAGCTTTGAAGTGCTTGCCAACAGTGTAGATCTCATGGATCAAGTCCTCCATGCAGATAATTCCATATTTACCTGAAATTTTCTTGGGCTATTACTTTTATAAGCTATGATCCATTTATTCAAACATATGTTCATTGTTAGAGCTGTAGAATTCACTGGCTAAACCAACTCAAAACATATCATCTTACTGTAACATATAGGTAACAGGTCCAAATCTTAGTCTATTGGGAAGAGCACCAGATCATCAGACTAGGATTAGAATCCTGGTTGTGCTACCGTCACCCTGTAACAGTTGGGGGCAAGTGACTTCTCTTGCACACTTAATTTTGTCTTCTGTTAAATGAACCAATAAGAATAAACCTTCTTGCTCTAAATTATACAACAATCCCCCTAAATGGGCCAGACTTACCAAGAGATTTTGCAATAAGGGCATTATCCGTCAGGGCAATTCTTTGTTTCTTGATCTTGCCATAACCACGTTTGTAAATCAGGTCATTCACAGACTTCAGGTTTGGGTAACTAAAATAAAACAAAAAAATTAGGGGGGTGTATGTTATCAGTAAGGAATTATCTTATTAATATGAATGAAATTAAAACAGGAAGAACTCCTTACCCCCATGCAATGTATGGTTCTACAATCCTCAGCATGTTAATGGAAGCCTTGTTAAGCTTAACAAAAGTGCCATTGAAGATTTGGCGAAGACGAAGAAGCTGCA